ATAACGAAGTCTAATGTGAGTCCCTGCAGGGCGCCACAGCGGTAGGCCACCCAGCAGCCCTCGAAAATAGCGAAAGTATCGCAGTTCAGCCCCCCCCCAAGGATGGCGAGGTCTAATCTGAGTCTGCACTCGGTACCCAGTAGACTGCCCCCCCAGCAGCCCTCGAACGTGGCAACAGTTTCGCGGACCGCAGCCCCACAGGGATAGCGAAGGCTAATCTGAATCCCTGGCGGGGCGTCACTCCGCAGGACTCCCCAGCAGCCCTCGAAAGTGGCGAACATTTCACAGCTCGCAGCCCTCCCCAAGGATGGCGAGGTCTGATCTGAGTCCCCGACAGGGCGTCACTCCGCTGGACCCCCCAGCAGCCCTCGAAAGTGGAGACAGTCTTGCAGACCGCAGCCCCCCCATGGATGGCGAGGTCTGAGCTGAGTCCCCAGCGGGGCGTCACCCCGCTGGACCCCCCAGAAGCCCTCGAAATTGGCGGCAGTTTCGCAGATCGCACCCCCCCAGGGATGGCGAGGTCTCATCTGAGTTCCTGGCAGGACGTCACTCCGCTGGTCCCCGCAGCCCTCGAAACTGGCGACCGTTTCGCACTTCGAAGCACCTCGCAGACCTCCAAAGCGCAGCCCCCCAGAGATGACGAGCCCCCAGCGGCTCCAAGATAAGTCGAGGTAGCAGGTAGGCAAAGGAGAGAGGCGAGAACAGAGACGAAGAGGGGGGCGGGAGTGGAGACAGCAGTGCTCTATTCAAAATGAGAACCCAGCATCAAGCTACCGAGGAACCCCACATACTTATAATGTGTCTGGCGTGACGATACTTGACGTGAAACTTGCGACACAAATGCAGGTGGCCGTTGCTTCGCCGATCCCGTTGGTGGCGCCTGTCAAGCCTTGGGAGCCTGAGTACCCTGAGGGGGTCAATAGTCCCTGGGAGACCGACCCCCCTGCGCACCCTTTCTGGTGTCGAGAAAGTGCCACGCTTGCTGTGCCCTGGACGACCGGCGCGGATAGCGGCCGCGCTGAGGGACCACCCCCTGCGCACCACCTATGGTCTCGAGAATATGCCACGCCTGCTCTGCCCTAGACGACCCTGAGGGATAGCGGCCGCGCTGAACCCCCCCCCTGCGCATCCCCTGTGGTGTCGAGAAAACGCCACGCCCGCTGTGCCTGGACGACGGTCGAGCATAGCGGCCACGGTGAGAGACCACCCCCTGCGCACCCCCTATGGTGTCGAGAAAATGCTTCGTCTGCTCTGCCCTGGACGACCGTGACGGACAACGGCCGCCCTGAGGGACCACCCCCTGCGCACCCCCTTATGGTGTCGAGAATATGCCACGCCTGCTGTGCCCTGGACGACCGTGACGGCTAGCGGTCGCGCTGAGGGACCACCCCCTGCGCACACCCTTATGGTGTCGAGCATTTGCCACGCCTGCGATGCCCTGAAGAACCGTGACGGATAGCGGCCGCGCTGAGGGACCACCACCTGCGCAACCGCCTACGGTGTCAAGAAAATGCCACGACTGCTATGCCCTGGACGACTGTGATGGATAGCGGCCGCGGTGAAAGACCACCCCCTAGTCACCCCCTATGGTGTCGAGCATATGCCACGCCTGCGATGCCCTGAACGACCGTGTCGGATAGCGGCGTGGTGAGGGACCACCCCCTGCGCACCCCCTGTGGTGTCAAAGAAGTGCCACGTCTGCCACAGCGGTTTTGTGAACGAGACAGAGAGGCAATATGGTGGGGATGATGATGATGATGATGAGGAGGAGGAGGAGGAGGAGGAGGAGGAGGAGGACGAGGAGGAGGAGGAGAAGGAATGCGGGTGCGACGCGGCAAAGAAGAAAACCATAATCCCACGGAAAATGTGGGGAAAACCACAGCACACCGCTCGATCCTGGAGTCGCAGTTAGGGGGGGGTGTCATGCGTATGATGCGCGTGCGGATGTATCTAGACGCGTGTCTCATGAGCGTGCCGTGCATGTGTTGCGAGAACCCCACGTGCCGCGCATGCGTTGCGCTCGGGCGACGCGAGGGAGAGGAGAGGAAGAGGAGGAGGGGAAGAGGGAGGTGCGTGGTGGGAGGAGAGGCGGGTGCGACGCGGCAGAGAAGAAAACCAGAACCTCACGAAACATGTGGGGAAAAAGAAGAATAGGAACAACTCTAATAAAGTACCAGGCGTGTGCGCGGTTCTTGAATCAACTGCTGGGAAACTTGAGCGAGAGCGCGATTCTGTAATGAGACGTGGGGAAACATTATGCACGAGCCGATGCTGCTGCAGCTGGGGACCCTGGGGCGCAGTTTGAGCCCCGAGACTTCCTCTGGAAAAAACGCGTGTGCGAGCGCCGGGCGGGGCACATCACATGAAAATGACCCTGCCACGTACCCAACCCATGTGCAGCAAGTGGCCAGATTAGTTGACCCACATTGCTATGGATGATGACGATGTGAGTTGACGGCAGAAAATCCACACCGATAAGAACCACCCCGACACGCGAAGCCGTTTCGTAAACGCACCCAAAGAAATAATCAAACAGGGTAGGGCTGTTTCGTAAACGCCCAGGGCCGTTTAGTAAACGCCGAGTGTCCAGTCCGGGTGGTTTTTCCCCCTTGAATGAGAGCCGTCGTTTGTTGCCCGAGCCACGTGGGACGCCCGCCTGTTGCACGACGCACAAGGCCCCTGCCCACCGCGGGGAGGAGCTGGGGAACGGCGGGGGCGCCACGAGACGTCGAGGCGCCGAGTCTCCGTAAGACGTCGTTCATTTGGGCCCCCCAGCAGCCCTCGAGAGTGGCGACGGTTTCGCGGTTCGCAGCGCCCCCCAGGGGTGGCGAGGACGAATCTGAGTCTCCGCAGGACGTCACCTCGCTTGACCCACCCAGCAGCCCTCGGAAGTGGCGAAGGTATCGCAGTTCGCAGCCCCCCAGAGATGGCGAGGTCGAATCTGGATCTGCGTGGGACGTCACTCCGCTGGCCCCCCAGCAAGCCTCGAGGGTGGCGACAGTTTCGCAGGTCGCAGTCGCCCAGAGATGGCGAGATCTAATCTGGGTCCTTGGCGGGGCGTCACTCCGCCGGACCCTCCAGCAGCCCTCGAAAGTGGCGACGGTATCGCAGTTCGCAGCCCCCAGGGATGGCGAGGTCTGATCTTAGTCTGCGTATGATGTCACTCAGCTGGACCCTCCAGCAGCCCTCGAAAGTGGCGACGGTATTGCAGTTCGCAGCCCCCCAGGGATGGCCAGATAACGCAGGACGGCGATGTAAGAGGCAGGCTGACAGGCAGGTACAAGCCAGGTCCCAGGTGGAATGCAGGAGAGGAGAGGAGGGAAGAGAGGAGGAGGGAAGAGAGGAGGAAGGAGGCTGGGAAAAAGGTGGAGACCGCAGCGCTCTCTCTAAAACGATAACCCGACGCAGGAGAGTTGTGAAAGATAGAACGGGTACCGATGAGGGAGATCAACGGAAAAGTCCAGAAATGGCAAGTCAATGTTAGGAAGCGAGAACCCCAATCAGTGAGTTCTTGCACTGTGGAGGTGGAAGATCTGTTGTGCGAGCAATGTGGCGCAAGCTCTATCGTGCAAACTATGTGGCGTAAACTATGGTGTGAGAGCTATGTGGTGTGAGCTATATTGTGTGATAAGTGCTGTGCAAGCTATGTGGTGCAAGCTGTGCTGTGTAGCTGTGTGGCGTGTGCTGTACAGTATCGTGTGAGCTGGATTGTCTGATATATGTATGGTGGGCGGCGTGGCGATCGCTAAGCAGTGCCAGCTATTTGGCGTGAGCTCTGTGCTGTGAGCTGTGTGCTGCGAGCTGCGTCTTGCAAGCGGTGTGGTGCTAGCTGTGAGGTGTGAGAACCATGTGCAGGCTGTGGCGGAAGCGCACGGGGTACCCGCGGGGCGCCCACGAGCGGGCTCTCGGGCGCGACCGCGGCGAACAACCTCGGGAAGCCCACCCAGCGTACGAGGCGCCCGCGGGGCGCCCACGAGCGGGTACGGGCGCCGCCGCGGCGAGAACCCTCGGGAAGCCCACACGACGCACGGGGCGCCCACGGGGCGCCCACGAGCGGGTTCTCGGGCGCCACCGAGGCGAACACCCGGGAGATCCACCCGATCACATGAGAACGCCAAGTAAGAACCCCATCAGTGCACGCACGGCTTAGGGAAACACACATGTTTCGGTCGCACACGGCCGGGGGATGAATCCGCGCGGGCGCCTGAACATACAGAACACACTTGCACACAGGCACACACACAGACACACACACACACACAGACACACATACACGACGCAAACGACTTAACCCAGGTCACACACGTACACCAGCAACAACAAATCCACCCGTCGAGATGTACGGAATGCAAGGATGCATAATCAGTTAGTTCATGGAAGTGTCCAGCGGAAACCGCCACGCTCTGAGAGAGAGCCGCCCTCCATCCGTGTGCGTGAGCATCCACTGGTCACCTTCTACGGAGCGAGGGCCCCATGAGGAACATCGGAGGAGGGCCAGCCCAGACAAGGGCGACCCTCCCGGGTGTTGTTCGACCTTCTTGGGCCTCTTGGGGGTTTCGTCGTCGCTGCGGCTGGACCCGCCTCGAACAGTCAGTCTGGGTTGGTCCTGAGAGGGGTCCAGGGATCGAGTTTGAGCGGATTTAAAGCCGGGCGGGGGAACCGCCGTTGTCTCAACTGGCCCTCCACCGAGAAGAGAGGCCGCACTCCATCTGCGCGGCCGCTGCAGGTTCTGACAAGTGCACCCTTAGAAGCGTTGTAAACATCAAGGCTCGAGATGATAAGTCGTGAGGGGCCAAAGGCCCGAAGGAGGAAAAGGAGGAGGAGGAGGAAAAGGAGAAGGATGGGGAACGGTGCAAGTGCGTGGGCGGGCGAGGAGGGGGAGGAGGCTTCATCCTCCCCCTGCTCCTCCTGCTCCTCCTGTCTGCCCTCAACCCCCCTTCGCCTCCCCCTCCGTCCCCCGCTCCTCTTGGGCTGCCCGCCCGCAGCCGGGCACGCGGCGCCTCGGCGGAATGCTGGTTGTAGGAGGCGAAGCGCAGGTGGCTGTTGCGTTTGATGGTGCCTCCGGCGGCAGCACGCTCCGATCCGGCGCGGCCCCGCGCGCTGATGTGGCCAGTTCTCCTCCACCACTACCAGGGAGGAGGGGGAGGAGGATGAGGAGGAGGAGAAGGAGGACAGGACAGGACAGGACAGGACAGGACATCCGCACGAGGGGGTCTACGTCAGCACCTACAAAGGAGCTGTTCGCGCAACTAGCAAAATCCCCTGCGATTAAATCGTGCCGCGCACCCCACATTTCTCCTGTAGCGGACAGAGGGCACACCCCAAAACTCAAGGGGGCGAGCTCCGAGGTGGCCCCGTGAGAGAGGCTCGTTGATTAAGACGAGTCCCTCGGGTCAATGCGAGGGGAACACCTGCTGGCCAGTTCGCGTGCCCTCTCCGGAGGACGCGCTGGCGAACAGGGTTCCCAAGTAGGGGGGGGTCCCTGACCCTTTCTTTAGTTTGCGAGCCGAGCCAGAGCGCCTGTGCTCCGAGAAGTCCGCCCCCCCCCCCTTCCCACCAACACAAGAACACCAGCACTCCGAGATGTCCTCGCTCGTGCTCTCTGCTCTCACTACGCCGAGACAGATGCTTCCCGCGCCAAACGCGCTCAGGTTTCGCTTCCCGCGCCAAGCGCGCTCAGAAATGTTCAGCCTTTCCTCTTTCCGTCCTGTGCAAAGTCACACTTCAATCAAAATCGGGGCAAACATGCGGCACATTCAGAAGATGGACAGATGACGAGAGACAGGGAGACAACGCAGGGGAGAGAGGGGGGTGGGAGAGAATGCAAGAGAGCCCATGCACCCCAAGCACCTGCTGATGGGCCTGTTTAAGATTATACCTACATCCTGTCGTGCCAACGCTTCGAACAGAGCCCCCCCCCCCTCCCCCCCCCGCCCCCTCTCGCTGCGCCAAGACAGATGCTTCCCGCGCCAGACGCGCCCAGAGATGCACAACTTCTGCTCGCTTGCTCCTCTGCAAAGCCACACCGACTTCCTCAGAAAATCTGGGGGCACGTGCGGCACGTGTAAAGAATTGGCACAACATCTCCGTTGTCAAGGTGATTTTCTGTCTACGAGCGTGTATTTATCTTCCACTTGGATAACGCACACATCCCAAGGATACCCACTCTGAAATTGCGCCTAAACTGCAGCACATGCCTATGAGAGCCAGTTTTTTTGCCGAATATCCAACTATGCCAGAAAGGTGTTCTTCACTGCGTCGCAGACCATATTACGTCTTTGTTCAGCTTCTTCGACTTGGTTTGAAATGGCATTCTGAAGCTGGATCATCTCTGTCGGTCTCAATGTGGTTTGCCTCCTCCATAGTCCGTGGCGAAATCCAATGCTTCTAGTTCTGTCAGTGCATCCTCCACTTCCTGCTGTGTGAGAGACCAGGGGGCAGCTGTTGTTGAATTTCTTTCGCCCTACGCGAGGAACCTGTATCGTTCAGACGCACCTCAGAAATGTCCTGCAGTATGTTCCAGTTTGCCGACAGAAAGAATGGTTTTCGAGGCTCATCACTGGCGGAGGCCAGTGGCCTCCGAACCTCGGGGCCGCTATCTTCCCTCTGGCTCTTGTTCCCTTGACGCAGATGATCTTCTAGTTCCACTGCGAACTTTTCCACACAAATCTCGTCATCTGCTTCTCTGTCGCCGTATTCGCTTCAAGGTCACATTCCAATCTTCCATCGGAATCTGGGAAGATACGGCACATGAAATTCTCATCACCTAAATAGCAGGGGCCGATGGGTCTTTGAAGCTCTTCATCGGCCGCAGCCGATGACCTCCGAACCTCAGGGCCTCCATCTTCCCTCGGAACGTTGTCGTCTGTCTTCGCTCGCCACCGAACAACTGAATGCAAAACAAGCCCTATTGGACTCCATTGGAGCAGTTGGTCTTCAATATCCTGCTGCATCTGCTCCCAAAATTCTGATTCGTGCATGGGATTTCGAAGGTCTTCATTCGCACCCTCCGGTTGCCTCCGAACCTCGGGGCCTCCATCTTCCCTCTGGCAACCGCTGTCCAGCGACGGCTCTTGGTCAACCAATTGTTCGCAAATGGCAACCCTGGCAACCTGGCATTTCCGAGCGTGGGTACGGCGGATGCGTTATCGTCGTCTTTGGCTCGTCGTTGTTTCAAGGTCACATTCCAATCCTCCGTCGACTTTCGGAAAGTTGCGGCACAAGAAAAATCCATCACCAAGTTACGACCCTGTCACGCGAGAAAAAAACGCAAAATGCACGGTCTCGGAATGGCTGCAGGGATTGTTTTGTTTATTCTCCGTCGTCCCTCCTCCCCCCTACTCCCTCCCCCCGTCACTGGAGAATGTATGGGGCGGAAATCGTGTGAGTGGGTTTCAGTGAAAGTCCTCACTCCGTCGGAGCTCAAATTGCATGGGCCTCCAACGCCGACTAGGAGGAGGAGGAGGAGGAGGAGGAGGAGGAGGAGCAGGAGGAGGAGGAGTAGGAGGAGGACCTCCCCATCCTCCCATTTTCCCCGCCTTGCCCACGGGGGGAGGGAGGCGGCCCTGCGACGGGGCAGGAGGGGAGCCAGTCTTGGAAGGGCACTGCCTCGGCACAGCTCTCACCGCCGGCCTCGGGAAAGCGAGAAGGGCTCTCTCTTTCTCTCTCTCTCTCTCTCTCTCTCTCTCTGCGGCAGGGATGCCTTCCTGCGAGACCGCCCGCCCCCCCGGGAGTTGTTTTGCTGCTCTCGCCCGTGCGCATGGTGTGTTGGATAATGTACAGATTGCATGTTCTCTCTCTCTCTCTCTCTCCCTCCCTCCTTCCTCTCTCTCTCTCTCTCTCCCTCGCTGTCGGTCTCTCTCTCTCTCTCTCGCTCTAGCTCTCTCTCTCTCTCTCTCCTCTCTCTCTCACTCGCTCTCCCCCTGTCTCTCCCTTCTTTTTGTTTCTCTCTCTCTCTCTCTCTTTCTCTCTTTCTCGTTCTCTCTCTCTCTCTCTCTTTCTCTCTCTCTCTCTCTCTCTCTCCCTGCCCCACCATCTCTCTTTTTTAGTTCTATAACTAAATATGGTCATGTACGTGTATGTGCTCCATTCCCACCCACCCCGGAACCCCATTCATGAGAGGCAGAAGGGGTCCTGCGAAAACGTTGCGCCGCCTCACCAGCAACCGACGGTTGCCGAGAAGGAAGCAGCGTACCGAGGAGGCGAAACGGATCACACACAGACGCCTTTCCTCCTCCAAAAATCCACGAATTACAAGAAAGTGCTGGATCCCCAGACATCTCAAAAGAAGCCTACGAAGCTCCCTTGTCCTACCACGACGACGGCGACGGCGAGTGCGGTCGGCGATGGCGACGAAAGATCGGCGGCGATTGGCGACGGCGACCTGCGACGGCGACGGCGACGAAAGGTCGGCGGCGATCGGCGATCGACGATCGATCGACGATCGATCGACGATCGATCGACGACGGGCGACGACGACGACGACGAGGAGGAACGGCGACGGCGGCAGACTCGACCTCCCCCTCCAGGGCTCGGCGCGGGCGCGGCCGCGCGCCCTCGGTCGCTTCCAGGTCCCCGCGCATCAGCTTCAGCAGCGTGGACTTGCCGGCGCCGTTGGGGCCCACCAGCGCGATGCAGCTCGCCGCGCGCGCGGGGCGCGGGCGCGGGCGCGGGCGCGCGCGGGCGCGCGGGCGCGGGTCCGCGCCGCGCTTGCCGAGCGCAGCGGGCGCCCTGCCCTACCCACGGGTCTGGCCCTGTTCTGGGCACTCTTCGGGGATCCTAAGAACGTGCGTCGGCGCTGAGCGTGTGTGCTCGGCCGCCGGGAGCCTTGCTGCACAGTGCAGGCGACGCGGCGATGGCCAAGACGGACTGCGTGCTATCCGCGGAGCCGGGCGGGGTAAACACACACACACACACACAAACACACGCACGCACGCACGCACGCACGCACGCACGCACGCACGCACGCACGCACGCACGCACACACACACACACACACACACACACACACACACAGACACACACACACAAACACAAACACACACACACACACACACATTCTCCATTTTTGGCGTCGCGACCGCGCGCGCAGCGGCGGGGCGTAGAAAGCCAGGCGAGACGACGCACGCGGCCGGCCCAGATCACGCGGCGTGGAGGTACTGGATCCGCCCACAGGGGGAACCACACACACACACACACACACTTTGAGCTCACACACTTTGGGCTCACACGCGCCGTGATGGCCATCGAACTCCCGCCGTCGCTGCCAGCTCCGCCCCCGAGCCTGGAGGAGAAAGCAGCGCGGGCGCCTCAGCCCCCAGGGGCGCCTGCCCCCCTCCCCTGCTCTCTGGGCCTCCAGGCGGTACGCCTGGCCCGGGCGCGCGACCGGGCACCGCACGAGACAGAAGCGCGGGAGAGGGCCCCCTCGCGGGGGGCGCTCCTGCCGCCACCGCCGGGACCGACCCCGGGCCCCTGGGCCCCAGACCCCCGACGCCATGATCCTTCCATGGCGCGCCCCGAGAGGTCCGGACCCATTCCACGGGACCAGCTCTTCCTCCAAGGGGTCGTGCTCTGACGGTCCCGAGGCCCCTCTCGCCCCAGAGGCCACAGGCAGCGAGGAAAACCTGCCGTCGTGACTCTTTCACAACGCGGAGGGGGGGGGGGGGGGTTCTGGGGTCGGAGCGTGCTCTCCCGGGCATGCCCGGGCAGTCGGTTCGGGGCGATGGTTCTGTGGTCCCCGAGGCCACGAGCACTCGCAGTAGAGCACTGCGGGCGGCCGCTCCGAAGCCGACAGCAGGCCAGGCAGCCATGCAGCCGGCCAGCCTGTGAGCCAGCCAGCCGGCCTGCCAGGTAGCCAGCCAGACAGCCAGCCAACCGGCCGAAATGCCACCCTGCCAGCCAATCAGCCAATCAACCCAGCAGCTCAGGGAACCCAGGCTGTGGCGGGGGGGGAGGGGCAGAGCCATTCCGAGATCGAGCATCACGGCATCACACTGCAGAGCGTTGGCGGGGAGGGGAGGGGAAGGATAAATGCACGCAGTGGATGCCCTGGCGACACCGCGCAGCACGGTATTCTCAGGACGTCCTGGGGCTTCCAGGAGCGTCCAGTGGCCTCCGCGGGAACCCCTGGGAGGGGTTTGAGGAGGAGGGGAGGCGCACGAGCGCAGGGAGTATGGCTTCATGCGGCTCGCGTTCAGCCGCTCACGTGCCCAGGAGACTTCCGGGAGCGCCCCCCCCCCCCCCGGGACTTGGAGGCGCCTCCAAGGGCCTCCGTGCACGAACAGTTCGGGGGCCTCCCCAAAGCGGCCCAGATGACCCGCGAGGGCCACGAGATGGCGCAGAGATGCCGCCGAGGTGGGCCCGGGCGGCCCCTACCGTAACACCGAAGGTGGCCCGAAGGTGGCCCCAGGATGCTCCCGAGAGGCCCTCAGATTGCTCAAGATGGACCCCAAGCTTCCAAAGCAGAATCACATGATAGGGGAAACGCCGACAAATGAACACTGCGCGACGCCTGCGCACTGACCACGGTTTTTGCTGGCGGGTGCGAGGTCTGGGGGATTCCGTGAGCACCTCGTCTGCCGCTAGCGCCCCTTGCCGCCTGCTCGTGAGCCGGCCACAAGGTATGGGGGGGGGTAAGGGAGAGCAGAGGGACTGGGATGCGGGAAGCGATGCGGTGGTGCGCGCGTTCAGCGAAGAGTTAGAGGGGGAGGTGCGGGGGGGCCGCCCGAGGGGGAGGGAGAGCGCACAGCTCCTGTCGGAATCGATCCCAAAGTCCACGTCCTTGTAGAGGTAGTCTTCCTTCTTCCTGCGGAGATAGCATCCATCTGGTGCTGCTGCAGCTGCTGCTGCTTATCCTCCTCGTCACTCGTCAGTGCCCTCATTCTCGTTATCAATCACATCCGACTCATCCTCGTAGTCATCGGCTGCATTCGTACTCACCATCCTACTCAGCATCATCGTTGGCATCGTCAGCATCATCGTTATCGACAATGCCATGATTGACATCGCCACCATCGCCATCAGTATCAGCAGCGTCGTTACCATCATCATTGCCATGACCATCGTCATAGTCGTCATTTTCTTTCTCGATAACACCATCGTAAATGTCATCAAACGCTTGTGAGACCCTGTGGGACAGGCAGACACTAGCCTTAAACACGAAGATGAACGATGCACAGTCTCGGCTGCGTAGCTTCAGGAAGTTCCTAATGCAGCGGGCACACAACAGGTGCTTTGACAGGAAAGTGTTCCAGATGTGTTGCCCACTGTGCAAGCCTCGATGATAGTGCTGACGAGCCTTATGAGACATGCCTAGCAGCTGTTAACAAGTGCACAGCATAGTAGAACAGACACGAAGCCTGAGATGTGTTGCGCTCCTCAGCTTCACAGGCGCAACTCAATCTCCCCCGGCATTCTCATCACACCCCATTCGTTCTCGTGTCCCCCTCCTCGCCCTGCTTACCAGTGTCCTTATAAGTAAGCCCCTTCCTGATCCTGCTCCTCATTCCAACCCTTCTTGTGTATCCTACTGGGCCTGCTTCTTCTCTCCCGTCCTACTATTGCCCCTTCCTGCTTCTGCTCCTGATATACTGGTCCCCCTTGTATGCTTGTTATCATCATGCCACTCCTGTTGCTGCTTCTGTCCCTCCCCATGCTCCTCAAGTCTTCTCCTCCTCCTTCTGGCACTTCCAATTGTGATCCTGCATCACATAATCCTCCTCCTCCTCCTCCTCCTCCTCCTGCTCCTCCTCCTCCTCCTCCTCCAATTCCTCCTCCATTATATCCCCCTCCTCCGCCTTGTCACCATAGTCATCCCAATACATCTCGATCCTTAGGCATCACCATACGTCATCCTCTTCCAGGCAGTCCTTTCCTACTGCTCAGCGCCCCCCCATCCACCCCAGCGCCCATCCCACGAAAGTATGATCCTCCTCCTCGTCATCCTCTTCCAACTCAAAGTGCTCCTCCTGTTCCTCCTCTCTGGCCTAATCCACCTCCTCTTCCTACCGATCCTGATCCTCCTAATCCTCTGCCATATCCTGCTACTGATTCTCTTCCTATTCCTCCACTTCCTCCTCCTTTCTTCCGCATCCTGTTCCTCCTCCTCCTCCCTCCGTGCTATTCTCCATGGTCCCCCGTCCACTGCCTGTGGCGGCGCGCATGAAGCGAGGTGGCAAACAGGGCGAGGGAAGGGGGCCGTCCGATAAGGGGGAAGGGTCTGGGAGACGTAAGGCTCGGGCACGGGGGACTCGGGTTGGCCTGACGGGGCCATCATGAAAATGACGAGACCCAGTCTGAAATTCGACGCGGGCTCCCGCTGCAGACATACCACGGAAACTGAACCGTCAAAATCCAAGACGCGCTCGTCAAAAAACGTCGGCGAGCCCGAGTCCCGGCTTAATCGAGCCTCACGTTTCCCCGAAAGGGGGAAGCTTTACGACGGGCGGCTGGGGAGCCAGGCCGGAGGGCCTCTTTCAGAAGCCGCCCCCGCCTCGAAGGCCGCCCCGTCCGAACCTCAGCTCCCAGCGCGCCGCCGACTGCCGCTGTTTGGCGGCGCGCGCAACGGGGGTGGAAGAGAGGGGGGAGGGCTTCTTCGAAGGAGGCTGCTTCTTAGAAGGCGCCGGCCTTACATCTATGGACGAGGCCCGCGCCTCCTGAAAAGCAGGGGTGCTTCTAAGAAGCCCTCCCCCTCCCCCCACCCCCCCTCTGCGCATGGCTGAGCTGTGAGGCAACGTTCGGGGGGGACCAGCTCACGGGGGAAAACATCGACCTGGAACCGGCGAGACACCGCCGATGGGTCGACGAGATGTCCCCAATGGCGAACCCGCAGGCTCCTGAGCAGTGTGAAGCTATCGGGCCCCCGCCGCGGACTGGGCGACGGGGGGTCGCTGCATCCCCACCGAGCCCATCCCCTGGCCTTCCCCTCCCAGCGGGCAAGCTCCCGGAGTAGGAGAAGCAGACGCGGTCGAAGGCGAGCACAGGCGGCGGCAGCTTCTCGGTGTCCGGGAAGTTGAACATGAACTCGCACAAAGGGGGGGGGGGGAGGCGGACAGTGAGCTCTGGCGGGGTGCGCCGTGCAAGCGGGAACCACTCTCTGAAAAGGAGCCCCTCTGTCCCGTCCATGCCGCGATCGGGAATACCAGGAGCATGAGCACAGAGCTCAAGCAAGTGTTAAGTCGGGATCTGTCCCCCTGGAGGAGGAATATTGAAAAATAGTCACAAATAGACTGGGGACTATGTTTGGACTATGTTTAAGCATTTGGGGGGTATGCTTTTTGGTGCTTTCCAGTTTTCGCCCAAAGCCCCCCTTGTAGGGGGACACGCCCGACCGGAAGCAGGTGCCAAGCGAGAGGCCCAGCCTTCAGAGCCGGGAGGCGGGGCGGGGAGGCCGAGCGCGAGCTGCTCGCCAGGAGGGGGAGGCCGCCGGAGAGCCCCCATCGCCTCGAGCGCGCCGAAAACGGAAGGGGGGGCAGGACGGGAGGGGGGAGGGGAATTGGCGCACCTTGGCTTAGGTCGGGCCTCTCCCCCTACACGGGGACTTTGGGCGACAAGTGAAAAAAAATACTGAGAACAAATGCCCCCTCAGATGCCCAGAAGTAATCACAACATAGTTCCCTGGCTGTTGTTTGACTATTTGGGGATATCATTTTTGAATGCTCTTCCTGCAGAGGGACAGGCGCGTGCGCGGACGAGGAGGGGGTGGGGAACGCACTGGGAGCAGAAGGGAGGGACGTGGAATCTGGCCCCAGCCACCATGTTCAGACACCCCTGGTCCCCATACCCCTCTTCGCCGCCCCAGAGCGTCACGGAACATTGCTTTGTTTGATCGCTGACGCAGCCCCCTTATGGCAGCACAACGAGCATTGCTCGACTTGCTGAAGCAAGAGAGCCCCACCAGCCCTTTGGGCGTCCGTGGCTTGGCGGACGATTGGCAAATTCATCCTGCCAGCCTTTGTGCGCACATCGCTGAGCAAGGTGCCCACAAGATGTATCGGATCCCACAGGCCAAGATTGACAACCAGCACATGCAAGAGTTGCGTCGAAGACTCAATGATGCGGTAAATTGGTGGCCCTGGGTTGAAAAATGGTGGCCCTGGGGTTCGAGAGCTCGAGGGCGGGCGGGGGGCGGGAGGGCGAGCCGAAAGCTGCTTGACGTGGGATGGCTGGGGATCGAGGGAGGTGAGTGGAAGGACGATGTGCGTCTTTTTCACTCCTGGCCCTCCAGGGGGGGGGGGGGGGGAAGGGCGCCGCCGCGGCCGGCTTCCCCCCCTGGATGCCCTGGCAGGAACGCGCCCCAGGAGAGGTCGGGTGGGCGGGGTTTGGAAGGGGAGGGGGGAGCGAGGAGCAGCAGGAGGCAAGTCAAGACAAGTAAAAGCCGCGCATCCACTTAGAAAGTTGCATGAGAGCCGGCGCCTCCGGGAGGGGGAAGGGAGGGGAGGAAAAAAAGGGAGATCACCAAAGGCTTCGGATACTGAAGGGGAACTGGGACACACAAATAAATACACACAAGTAAAAATATCCCCCATATTTTCCTATATTTTCTTGGTTTTTTGTCTTCCTCCCCACTTCCCATATTTTCCCATATTTTCTGGAACATGTACGATTAATTGTGTCTGTGTGTTTCTTCCCCTCCTGAGATACTGCCATGATCGAGATTGTATACGGACTGCGCCCACTGCTGCCTGGGTCTCCCCCTCTGCGCCGGCGGAAGGCCCAGCCCTTGGGCGTGCCATCCGCCAGCCCTGGCGCATCCGGAGAAGAGCCCGAGGTCACTGCCAGCAGCATCGCCGAACGGCGGTGCCGAGGCGTGGCGAAAGGCGAGACTGGCGGCCACGAAGGCGGCACGAGCAGTCTCGAGATGGTCATTGCGCGCGATATGAAGCACAGTATCCCTGCAGTCAAACTTATCCGCCACCGTGCCGAGAGGCACGCCCCCAACACGCCTACCGAGAGGGTCCCGTGAGGCCCCCGAGAGGTCCCAAAGAGGCCCAAGAGGAATCCAAGAGGCCCCCAAGAGGCATCCCAAGAGTTCCCAGGAGGAAAAGAACTCAGGCCAATAACCCGCTGAGTTGGGCCTCCCAGGAGGGAGGAGGGCAGGGAGGGAAAGGAGGGACAGGAGGGAAAGGAGGGAAGGGAGGAGGAAAGGGAGCATGTACCGGCGCCCCCCTAGGGCACGATGCTGGACGTACCAGCGCCGATACCGAGTGGAGCCTCTCAGGAGCTGCACCCGAAGCAGCGATAGAGCGCAGTGCAGCGGCACAGCATGATCGCATTTTCTTTACTCGCGGCCATAACGGGCGTCGTGGGGGGGAGAGGGGGAGCGAGGACGGCATGGGGGCATAACGTAGCGCCCCCCCCCCCAGACTGTGGTGCCAGACGCACTGCGGCAGTGCCGGGGACGCAGTGAGGGAGGGAGGGGGGGGGACGTCACGTTCCCAGACCCCCAACGTCGTGATTTTTGCATAGCGCTACCCCCAGATGTCAGAACCCTTTCCCCGGGCCGATTTCTCGTCCGGAACCACTTTCTGACGGCCCCGAGGCCCCGCGAGAGCCCCCAGAGGCCGGAAATGGCGAAAAAAACCTCACGTCGTGAATTTTTCACAGCGCGAGGGGGTCTGGGTTGTAACTACGTTGGGGCGGGGGGGGGAGTTGGGCGCCCGAATTATCCGGGGTAACTCGGGTCCGGGGTAACTCGGGTTCGGATTCCCGAAAAAGGAACCCGAGTTAGCCCTGACCCGAGTTACCCCTGATGATTCGGGGCTCTGGGCGCCCGAATTATCCGGGGTAACTCGGGTCCGGGGTAACTCGGGTTCGGATTCCCGAAAAACGAACCCGAGTTATCCCTGACCCGAGTTACCCCTGATGATTCGGGGCTCTGAGGGAGGGAGGGAGCATAACGCGCGCTGTGGCCCAGAGGACAAAAAGCAGCACTCTCCAACAGGCAGCGAGACGCAGAGCGGGCACGCCGGGGCAGCCGAGGCGCTCGAGGGCAGCGAGCGAGGGCGAGAGCGGGGACGAGGCGGGAGGCTCCCGCCTTGGGGTCCGGCATCGGCTTCTCCGTGAGGCCGTCCTGAATTGGCCCGCCGCGTCACGCCGCCGGTCCCATCCTCCTCCTCCTCCTCCTCCTCCTCCTCCTCCTCCTCAGATTGCTCCTGATCCTCCTCCTCCTCCTTCTCCTCCTCCTCCTGCTCCTCCTCCTCCTCCTCCTCCTGCTCCTCCTCCTCCTCCTCAGATTCCCTCCTCCTATTCCTCCTGATCCTCCTGTTCCTCCTTCTCCCCTCTTTCCTCCTCCTGTTCCTCCTCCTCTTCCTCCTCCTCCTCCTCTCCTCAGATTGCTCCTCCTCTTCCTCCTCCCCTCCTCTCTCCTCCTTCTCTCCTCCTTCTTCTCCTCCTCCTCCTTCTCCTCCTCCTCCTGCTCTCCTCCTCCTCATTCCTCCTCCTATTCCTCCAGATCCTCCTGTTCCTCCTTCTCCTCTTCCTCCTCCTGTTCCTCCTCCTCTTCCTCATCCTCCCTCCTCCTCCTCGTCCTCCTCCTCCTCCTCCTCCTCCTCCTCCTCCTCCTCCTCCTACTCATCCTGCACCTCCTGCTGCTGAGTTTGGCCCCCCTCGGGAATCGAGGAGGGAGGTTTCTGGGCGTGCTCGGCAGGCTGTGGGGCATCCTCCGTGCTCTCCAGGCCTGAGGGGGGCCTCCTCCTCCTCCTCCTCCTCCTCCTCCTCCTCCTCCTCCTCCTCCTCCTCCTCCTCCTCCTCCGTCTCCTCCTCCTCCGCCTCATCCTCCTCCGTCTCCTCCTCTTCCCAGTTCTCCTCCTCCTCCTCCTCCTCCTCCTCCGCCTCCTCCTCCTCCTGCTGAGGCTTGCCCCCCCCCTCCCCCCTACACGAGGGGATCGAGGAGGGAGGTTGGGGGGGCAGCGATACAGGGGGGGCTGGCATGGGGGGGGGGGAACATCGACCTGGAATCGGCGACACGTCGACGATAGATCGGCGATGCAGCTGAACAGATGTTCAAGAAAACCATCATTCAAGAAATCTGGGCCAGCTTCCCAGACGTTTCGTCAAACAGTCCTGGGCCAAGTTCAGTTGTTAACGCTGGAGAGGCGAACGTGCTCGAGAAACTGGGCCAGCTTCCTGGCAAGTTGGTCAAGAAACGTTGGCCGACATGTTCGGGAGGAGGTTTCCCAATCAGATGTCCGACTGTAGGCAACTTGTAGTGGATCCGCGCCTTCCTGGGCGGGTGCCCCTACAGGCGATGAGTGGGCGATTGGGGGTCGATGCATCCCACCTGTGCCTGTCCACTCCGATCGTTGCCCCTGAAAAGAGGAATGAGAAGTGCCCAGATCTCCAGACATCACCTGGCGGTGAGGCAGGGCTCTTCCTGGGGCCCCAGCCGAGCGGCGGAACCCCGACGCCGACGAGGAAGATGACGACGACGACGACGACGTTGACGAGGACGAGGACGAGGACGAGGACGAGGACGACGACGACGACAACCACGACCACGACCACGACGACGACGACGACGACGACGACGACGACGACGACGACGACGACGACGACGACGACGACGACGACTACGACTACGACGACTTCGACGACTACGACTACGACGACGACGAGCCCGTGGACGACGACGACGAGCCCGTGGACGACGACGAGCCCGTGGACGACGACGACGACGAGCCCGTGGGGCTGCTCCGAAGGTGCTTGGACGTTCTCGGCACACATCTGAACACGCGGTGCCTTCGCCGGGCCCCCGAAGAGCCTCCGGGGGGACTCGGGCTCCACACGCCGCTCGTCGCTGGTCTACTCCTCCGCCGCCTCCTCCTCCTCCTCATCCTCGTCCTCCCTTCCTCCTCTTCCTACTCCTCCGCCTTTTCCTCCTCCTCCTCCTCCTCATCCTCCTCCTCCTCCTCCTCCTCCTCCTCCTCCTCCTCCTCCTCCTCCTCCTCCTTTCCTTATAAACATATCCTCCCGTCGCACCCCGAAGCCGGTGGGAAAGACCTGCAGGGCGTTTCGCCTGAGACCTCCCCGCCATTTGTGCTCTCGCACTCGCGCCGCGCACATTCGTTTTCCAAACTTGCAACAATTCCGCCGGTTGAGGGCGGGTCGTTTTCACAAAATTTCAAAATGTGGCTCTCGCCTTAGGGCCGCGTGCATTCGTTTTCAAACCTGCTAGAGCTGCACGGATTGAGTGGGGTCGTTTTCAAAATGTGGCTCTCGCCTCAGCGTCGCGCACACTCTTTGTCAAAAATCGCAAGAATTTCACAGATTCAGGGCGGTACCTTTTCAAAATGTGGCTCTCACCCTAGCGCCGCGCACATTCGTTTCAAAAAGCTGCAAGGGTTCCATTGGTTCGCATGATTAACGTATCAGAAATGTTGTCCCGGAGCGACTCCGGATTGCCAGGGTGCCACAGTTACACTGACTCGCGGTGTGGAAATGCCAAGAATAGCGTTCTGGCACGGTTCAGGATCGTCAGGACGCATGAATCACATTGACTCGTGTCGTTGAAGACCTGAGAATGGTGTGCTGGCACGCTTCAAGATTTTCTGACATATTGCTCCCCAACAGCGCATTTCCCTCCGAGATGGAGCTTGGAGGGAGAGTGAATTCCAACATCGTCGATGTCGATAAGTCTTTGTTTTACGCTAGTCCTCCTTCTCATCGTCATCGTCGTCATCAGCATCAGCATCATCATCACTATCATCATCATCATCATCACCATCATCGCCATCATCATCATCGTCATCATCAGCGTCATCATCGCCATCATCGTCATCGGCATCATCCTCATCATCCTCATCATCATCACCGTCATCATAAGCAGCGTGAATATTATCATCAGCAGCAGCATCACCATCAGCAGAATCATCATCACCACCATCATCAGCATCATCAGCCTCATCACCATCATCATCAGCATCGTCAGGATCTTCATCATCATGCTGCTCCCCTTTACCTTCATGGCTGTCCTGCTCCAAGAATCGAGTGGAGATAGAAGAAAAAGGAAACACACGAATCATGAATCATGATACACTTCACCATTCTCCTCCTCATCATCATCATCCTCAACATCATCAGCATCATCATCATCATCATCGTTTTGATCCTCATCCTCATCCGCATGATCATCCTCATAATCATTCTCGACATGATCATAATCATAATCAGCATCATCAGCATCATCACATCGACTATCATCAACAGCATCAGTATCAGCATCATCATCGCCATCGTCGTCGTCGTCGTCGTCATCATCCTCATCGTCATCATCATGCTGCTATCCATTGACTTCATGGCCGTCATCCTCAGGGCTTCGAGTGGAGGGAAGAACAAGAAAAAACGCCTCCTTCATCTTCCTCCTCCACTTCCCCATGAGTTTGATCGCCATCCTTCTCCTCCTTTTCCTCCTCCTCCTCCTCCTCCTCATCATCATCAGTAGCATCATCAGCATCATCAGCATGATCCTTATCATCCTCCTTCTCATCATCATCGTCATCATCGTCAGCATCACCATCATCTTCATCACCCTCATTATCATCACCATCATCATCACCATCACCACTGCCACCAGCATCATCATCGTCATCATCATTTGCATCAGCAGCATCATCATCATCACAATCACCAACACCATCAGCATCATCATCAGCAGCATCATCATCCCTTTCCTCATTCTCATCCACCTAATCGCCATTCTCATTCTCCTGGTAACCTTAGTCTAGGGTCACCTGAGGGTCGTCTCCTCTTCCTCCTCCTCCTCCTCCTCCTCCTCCACCGCCTCCTCCTCATCCTCCTCCTCCACCCTCCTCCTCATCCTCCTCCTCGTCGTCACCCTCCCCCTCGACGTGCTTTCTTCCCTTCTTGCGAGCGCACTGCGGGCCTCCACCGGCGTGCACCTCAGGAGGCCTCCGAGAACTGAACTCTGCTCACGGCGCGGGCTCGGCCTCCCGCCGCGCAGGCCCCTCGCGTTGTGAGAAAAACGCATCCGCATGCGCATGCGCATGGTCGTCATCAGCCTCGCCATCATCATCCACACTGCCATCATAACCAGCAGCATGCAGCATCAAAATAGTCATGATCATCAGCACCATCGTCATCAGCATCATCAGTATCAGTCTGACCATCAGCATCATCAAACGTATCAGCATCAGCAGCATGAGCGCCATAAGCATTATCATCATCATCAGCAGCATCATCGTCGCCGTCATCGTCGTCATCATCATCGTCGTCGTCGTCGCCATCGACGTCGTCGCCGTCATCGTTATCATCATCTTCAGCAGCGTCAGCGACATAATCATCATCCTCATCCTCATCATCATCAGCAGCATCATCATAATCGTCATTATCATCATTATCATCATCGTCGTCGTCATCGTCATCGTCATCGTCGCCATCGTTGTCGTCGTCACCATCGTCATCGTCCTCGTCATCGCAATGATCGTCGTCATCGTCGGCATCATCATCACCGGGCTCCTGCTCTTCATCGTGCCCTTCCCCCTCCTCCCATCCTCCTTCCTAACCGCCCTTCCTCTCCGACCAGGCTGCCCGTATCCCACCCCCCTCCCCAAGGGTTGAGTCGGGCGTTTTCCCCCACAGGGGGATTTTGGAGGAAAAATCAAAAAGATTCACAGAAACATCACAAAAAATTGGAGGCTAAATCATCCCCTGACTATTTTTAACTATTTTCGAATTTTCTTCCTGTAGAGGGACGGGCCCGAATCCACCCCGGGGGCCTCCCAGTGCACCCAGCGCCCGAGAAGCCTCCGAGGCCCACCCTCCCGAGGCGGCTGGCCGGGGCGTGTCCCCCTACAGGCGAATTTTGAAGGAAAAAATAACAGATACCCCTAAAATATTCAAACATACTCCAAACATCGTCCACTGACTACAGTATTGTTTTACTATTTTTGAACATTCCCCCTGTACAGGCCGACTTAATCCTAACCGCCCTTCCTCTCCGACAAGGCTGCCCGTATCCCACGCCCCTCCCCAAGGGCCTCCCAGCGCTCCCAGCGCCCCAGAAGCCTCCGAGGCCCACCCTCCCGGAGCGGCTCCCCAGAGCATCCTCCTTCATCTTGTCGATGATCTTCTGCTTGGAGTCGGCCTGCCTGCGCATGTTCGAGAACGTCCCGCAGGATCGGATGAACTCCAAGAGGTGCTGGATGTCCGCCTGCTCCTGCGGGGGAGGAGGAGAATGAAGGAGGAGGAGGAGGAGGAGGAGGAGGAGGAGGAGGAGGAGGAGGAGAAGTGGGAGGAGTAGGAGGAGGAGGAGGAGGGGGAGGAGGAGTAGGAGGAGGGCGAGGAGGAGGAGGAGGAGCAGTAGGAGAGGAGGAGAAGGAGGAGGAGGAGGAGGAGGTGGAGGAGGAGGAGGAGGAGGAGGGAGAGAGGAGGAGAGGAGCAGGGAGGAGGAGGAGGAGGAGGAGGAGGAGGAGGAGGAGGAGGAGGAGGAGGATGTGGCATGTCCCCTACCCACTGGGGCTGGCTGCTGCCTGCTGCGTGCCACAGCCGCTCCTGGGGGGCACCGGCGCAGAGCGTTGGAGGGACGCGCTGGCACTGGACCAGGAAAGGAACGACACCGCCCCACCTGAGGGCCCCACGGGACTTCTGTGCGTACCATGAGATCTGGCGTGGGCTTTTGCGTGGTATACGCTACGGCCCCCGATTGGCCGTGGCGCAACATGGAGGGCCGCAGGTGGGGTGGTGTCGTTTGCTGTTTGACCGAGGCTCTCGGACTCAGGGCGCTCACTTGACGAGCGCTCCTGGGCCGCCCTCGGCCCGGCAGGGGTAGGGCAGGGAGGAGCACGAAGAGCACCAGGAGGGGCAGGAGGGGAGCAAGAGAGGTCGAGGAGGAGGAGGAGGAGGAGGAGAAGAATCGGGCACACTCTGACACTGAGGGCGGATCCTCGGCTCTGGCGCGTGGGCGCCAGATCCACGGGTCAGCCCCCCGAAGCGTGGCGCCGGTGCCGCCCGATCTGGCGAAGGAACGCGCCGAACTGCAGTCGCCCCGTATCACCTGGACGCGCGACGGGGCTGCAGGGGCCCTGGAAGTCCATGCCGGCACCTCGCGAGCGGGGCGCGGCCAGCGAGAGCGGCCGAGGATGGGCCGAGGATGAAGTCGGGCCTGTCCCCCTACAAGGGGATCTTGGACGAAAAATAAAAAACAATCAACAAAATACCCAAAAATATTCAAAATTGACAGAAAATCGAATCTTCCTCTCAGGGGGACGTAAGACCTGGGTACAGGGGACTCGGAAATCCCCGACGAGGTCGTCAAAAAAATGACGAGGCCGAGCCTGCATTTTGACGAGGCCTCCCGCTGCAGACATCCCACGAAACTCCTCCTCGTCAAAATCCGAGGCGCGGTCGTCAAAAAACGATGGCGAACCCGAGTCCTGGCAAACCCGGGTCTTACGCTCCCCCGATCCTCGTATAGAGGGACAGGCCCGATCTCAGCCGAGGAGGCCAGGACGCAGGGGGGGCCCCTCCGCCGGCGGGCCGCCTCCCGCGCCCGCGGCGGGGCCGCCGCCGCGCGTCGGCACGCGGCGCGAGGGCCCTGCGGCACCTGCCGCCCGCACGCGGCCTGGGCGGAACCTCCGCGGCGCCGCCGCGGCGGACGTCCATAGCCTCAAGTCGGGCCTGTCCCTCTACAGAAGGAGTGTCCAAAAATAGTCTGGGGACGATTTTTGTCACTACTTCCGCAGATGTTGGTAGTAAGTTCTGAGTCTTTTAAAAATTTCTCACCCGAAGCCCCTTTGTAGGGGGACACGCCCGACCTAACCATAACCCCGTGCACATCTTTTGGCTTCGCGCACGTGCATGCCTTCTTTTGGTCGCACGGTGGTCCGAGGTGCTCCTCGATGGCCCTCGCCGAGGCACCTCGATGGCATCCAAAGGCCTGGGCAGCTGGCGGAGCGCCAGAAAGGAGGCCCCCGCGAGGCCTCTGGATCCGAGGTGTTCCTCGATGGCCCTCGCCGAGAGACATGGTGCACACGTCCGAGCGAGGAGGAGGAGGAGGAGGAGGAGGAGGAGGAGGAGGAGGAGGAGGAGGAGGAAGAGGCAGGAGGAGCAGGAGGAGCAGGAGCAGGAGCAGGAGGAGGAGGATCAGGAGGAGGAGGAGGAGGAGGAGGAGGAGGAGGAGGAGGAGGAGGAGAGGGAGGAGGAGAGGGAGGAGGAGAGGGAGGAGGAGAGGGAGGAGGAGAGGGAGGGGGAGGAGGAGGGGAAGAGGAGGAGGAGGAGGAGCAGGAGGAGGAGCAGGAGGAGGAGTCCTTCTCGTACGCCTTCATCTGGTTGACCTCCTGCTCCTGCCTGGTCTGGACCTCGGCGCAGGCCCCGCCCCGAGCGACGGCGGGGGCACCATGGGCAGAGAGGCTGCCGCGCGGCTTTCTCGAAACGCGCCTGGTGGGGCCGAGGTCGCCACCACCACTCGTGGGATCTGTTGAGGGCGCCCCTGGCCCAAGACGACGGCGACGTCGACGACGACGACGGGGGCGACGACGTCAGCTGCGACGACAGCGACGACGGCTGCGACGGCGACGGCGACGGCGGCGGCGGCGGCGGCGGCGACGAGGGCGACGCCAAGGAAATGCAGGGCGACGGGACTCGAAGCGCCTCGAGATCGCAGCGCCTCGAGATCGCGGAGCTCCCGAAGGCCCCGGGCGGACCCGGGGCCTCGCCGGGCGCCCGCGGCTGCGCGCCGCGCCCGCCCCCGCTCGTCAGAGAGAAGTCCGCCCCGGCTGGCCGGCGGGACGGTGAGGGCGAGGGCACCGGCGGCCAGCTGGGCGAGGAAGAGAAAGGGGGTCTCACGCACGAGGGCACGGGGCCCTTACGCGGTGGCGGCGCGACACGCCGCGTGAGAAGAAATGGCGCTTGCGTGCGACAGCTGGCACATGCGATCCGAACTGTTGCAAGGTTTCCCAGAGAGGCTTGCCTCAGGGGTTCCTGCTTGGTGAAAGGTTGGTGCCTCCTGTTGTTACTGTGACCGTTCCTCGGAGGTTCCTCAGGTTCCTCGGGTTCGTCGGGTTCCCCGCCCCCCGTGCCTCTTAATATTACGTTGCCCGTTCCTCGGAGGTTCTTCAGGTTCCTCGGGTTCCCCGGGTTCCTCGGGTTCCTCGCGGCCGCCCCAGGTGCCTCGTATTCTTTGCAATGCCAAGCAATGCCGAGCAGTGCCGAGCAATGCCAAGCACCGCGGGGCAATGCCGAGCAATGCCAAGCAATGCCGAGCAATGCCGAGCAATGCCAAGCAATGCCGAGCAATGCCGAGCAATGCCAAGCAATGCCAAGCAATGCCGAGCAATGCCAAGCAATACCGAGCAATGCCAAGCAATACCGAGCAATGCCAAGCAATGCCGAGCAATGCCAAGCAATGCGAAGTAATGCCAAGCAATGCCAACCTATGCGAAGAAATGCCAAGCAATGTCAAGCAATGCCAAGCAATTCCAAGCAATGCCAAGCAATACCAAGCAATGCAAAGCACTGTGCCCATGCGATAGGAAATTTACGCTAATTGGGGTCGCGCTGGGTTCATATTGCAACGAACCCGGCGCGACCCCAAGTAGGGGAACGCCTATTACCGGACGCATCGTTGGTCACATGGACGCAGGGCTTGGCATTGCTTGGCATTGCTTGGCATTGCTTGGCATTGCTTGGCACTGCTTGGGGCAAGCAGGGGCGGTAAACCCGAGGAACCCAGGAAACCCCAGGGACCGGGGAACCCGAGGAACCTCCGAGGATCGGGCAACGTAACAATATGAGGCACCAGGGGCGGGGAACCCAACGAACCCGAGGAACCCGAGGAACCTCAGGGAAACGGGCAACGTAACAATAGGAGGCACCCAGGGCGGGGAACCCGAGGAACCCGAGAATCCCGAGGTACCCGAGGAACCTCCGAGCAACGGGCAAAGTCACAATAGGAGGCACCAACCTTTATCCAAGCAAGAACCCGTTAGGCAAGCCTACTCGAAAAAAAAGGAATCTAGGACACTGTTGCCGTCGATTGTTGAGCTTCTTCAGGTGCCCAAGGGGTTCTGCGGGTCCACAGGGCCATCGGGGGACAAGGAAATTCTGTAGGCACCTGCCGGCAGGCTGCTTTCTTACTTGCTGCGCCTGATGTACCTCACCTGGGCAGCTCACGCGCCAGTGCACCGCTCGGCCCCCTCACTCTGATTATTGATCCACGCTTCCAGGATCACGCCCCCTCGTAAAATACTACAGACCACACCCAGGGCCGTGATCCATGGTGCAATATGGTGGGCCCGTTCCCCCAAGGCCACGACCCCTTGTAAAAGCGGCTTGAGCAAAACGGGAAGTACACAAGCTGCTGCTGCGTGCTGATGCTTGCTCCCGTTTGGGCCACCCTCACGCCTCTTGGGGCAGGCTGTTCTCTTGGGCCCTTCTGCGTCGTTCTGGTGCTCTTCGATGCTGCCTAAGGCTTCGTGCATTGGCTACTTTTGGGCGGCCTCTCGAGGGCGTGTGTGTGTGTGTGTGTGTGGGGGGGGGGGGGGCGGTCCCTTGGGAGCCGCATGGGCCCTCTTGGGACGTGTTCGAGCGTCTTGGGGCCCGTTGCCCCGACATGCTGCAGAGGCTCTACTGGGCACCCTGTGGGCACGCGGAACGCTAGAGCCCCCCTTGGGGTCTTCTTCGCGCGCCCCTGGGCCGTACTGTGTGGGTCGGGCGTCAGAGCTCGGAAAGCCCTCGTGGAGCGACGGCTCCGAGCAGAACGGTGAGGATCCCGATGGTGATCACCGCAAGGACACGGCCCTGCTCGACCCGACTCGGCTCTGGTGCGCGCCGCGCCCCGACCTCTGGGCTGCGCGCGGCGACCACCGCGCTAAGGGGGCGCGCGTACGCCTCGTAGTTGCCGCCCCAGTACTGGAGCTTCTGGTCCTGTCGCAGCTGCATGATGTCGGTGCACACCGTGTTCATGAAGTCCTGCGGCGGAGGGTTCACTCCCTCCAGCCTCACCCGCGCCGCGCTGTCCCTGTCCTCCCCAGCCAGCACCATCGTCCTCGTCAGCATCAGCAGCAGCATCGTCCTCATCGTCATCATCATCAGCAGCAGCATCATCACTATCAGCAGCATCATCAACATCGGCAACATCATCGACATCATCATCAGCATCATCGTCACTGTCACCATCATCATGGTCATCGTCATCGCCATCGCCATTCGCATCATCACCATCATCATCATCAGCATCATCCTCATCATCATACTCAGCACCATCATCAGCAGCATCGTCATCATCACCATCAGCAGCAGCCTCATCAGCAGCATCGTCATCATCCAAATCATCCTCCTGTCCGTCCTCCTGCTCCAACCTCTGCACCACAGATAGTAGTGTCCTAATCCTGCTCGTATATGTGATCATCCGCCTGCAAGGTACCTTGTGTCCCTCATCCCTCCTTCTGTCACACATGTGTCATCCTCAAACTCGCTGCAAATACGCATAACCATGCTCTTCCATGATTATAATGCCCCCCTGGTATCTCCTCTGTCATCTCCGCGTTTCCTCCTCATCCACCCGTTGTGTGCTCATCATACGTCCTTGTGCGTTCACTCCTCCACCTCCTCGTCCTCCCCCTCCTCCTCGTCATCATCACCATCACCCCTCCTCCTCATCCTCCTCCTGTCCCTCCCGCCCCGCTTTCTCCTTATCATCCTCGTCATCCTCCTCTTCCTCCTCCTCCTCCTCCTCCTCCTCCTCCTCCTCACTATGCTTCCTCCCGCTCCCCCTGGACACATCCCCCTCCTTCCCCTGATTCCCCTTATCATCCTCCTTGTACTGCTCCCTGTCCTGCCCCATACGTACGCATTGGGACGATGAGCCCACAATGTACCACCCGGCCGCCCGATAGCGCCCCTAGATTGATCCTTCCGCATTACCACTCAAAATGCTAAGAATAAACGTGTCCCTTTACCACTCAAAGGCGACATGGACGTTTTACCTTCGACGCTGCAAAATGGTTCGTGCCGTCGACGCTGCACAGTGCGCACACCCCGCGCGCGCGGAGGGGGGGGTCGCTCTCACCTTTCAGCGCCGCGCGCACTCTCTTGGAGAGCTGCGCCCTGGCATGGGCGCGCCGCACATCACTCGCGCTCGCCAATGCGTCGGCAGTGGGGTCGGGTGCGAGCGGGCGAAAAGTCGCCCCCGCCCAAGCCCGCAAATATTAGGTCGGGCATGTCCCCCTACAGGCGGATTTTGGAAGAGACATAAAACGCAGTCAATAGATACCCCAATATGATCAAACATGGTGGAACATCGTCCACCTATCATTTGTCTTACTATTTTTGAATATGTTTGAATACTCCTCCTGTAGAGGGACAGGCCCGACTTAAGCTTAGCTGCCCCGATACGCAACACCTAACACGCAGCGGGTCGACACGGAGCGCAACACGCAGACTGAAAACGTACGCCAAACCCGTGGGCCCACACGTGCCGAGCCAAGGCGCGGCACGTCAGCACAGACGTCTTGAGCACGGAACGTGTGGTGCGTGTCAACACGGGCGTACCAGGGCAGCTAAGCCGAATGGTGCCCTCGCAGAAGCGCCGCGCATGGATCTCCGTACAACTTCGCCCGCGCCCGAGCGAGGCCCGTGCTCTTTTCCGCAGCAGCGAGATGGTCAGCGCTCAAGGCCCTTAGTGGTGGTGCCAATAAGAAGCACGTCCCCCCGACCTACTTCTGCACGTGTGAACGAAAAAGAACGAACAGGAGGAGGAGGAGGAGGAGGAGGAGGAGGAGGAGGAGGAGAAGGAGGAGGAGGAGGAGATGGACAGCGAGGCCCGTGCTTTTTTGGTCCCCCCATGGGCCGTCGGGAGCGGGGCCCCGCGCGCGAGGGCCCTGCAGTTCGCGAGGTCGGAGCGCGCTGCGGTCCCAGGATCCAGCTGCTGGCACTGGTTATTTTGCTGCGTTGCTCGCTTCCTCCCCAGACCCCCTCGAGCCGGGAAAAGAACACGACGGAAGGTCTTTCTCGATGTTCGGCCTTTGCGGGCTCTCACCAACCCTCGGGACCGTCAAAAAACGGCTCAGGATGAAAAGCCGGGAAACGGGTCCGGACCTCTTGGGGGTCACCGCTACGAAGAAAAAAAAATGACGTGAGGGGTCTGGGAAGGGTAGGAGTGCGAGGGGGCCCTGAGAGTCGCTCGAGCTGGCCAGCTTGATTCCTGGAAGAGGCGGTAATCAGGAGCTAAAAAAGGTTTACTCTGGAGTCAACCCTCCGTTGGGTGAGCGTCGATGTATTCACCCTGGGAGGGGGTTAACTCCAGATTAAACCCTTTTCGTGGACGCCTAGCGTCGCAGGGGTCCACCCTGAAGAGGGTTAGCTCCAGATTAAACCCCTCTGGCGGACGCCGAGCGTCGCAGGGGTCCATCCCGAGGAAGGTTAACTCCAGATTAAACCCTTTTCGTGGACACTCCCTGAGAGGCCGAGGCGGAGAAGGTGGAGAGCGAGAGAGAGAGAGAGAGAGAGAGAGGAAGAGAGAGAGAGAGAGAGAGAGAAAACAAAAAAATAACGAAACAGTGAGATAAGGACCTGGTGGGCGCGGTACCAAACTCGCACCGAAATGCCCGCGGCGAAACGGAGGCAGCGGTGGCAGTTGGGGCATCTTGGGCGCCCTTGGGACCCTCTAGGAATAGATTGATTGAGCGGGTCATACATGTGGCTGCAGGGACGCAAGCGATAACATGAACATGGCGAAGGAAAACCTCAGGGCGAAGGCCCCCAGGCGCTCCCCCATGAACCGCGCCCCAACACTCTGGCATTTGGGACGCCGTTCGCGCCATACCCGCTGCCTCTAGGACTGTCTTGGGACCACCTTGGGCCGTCTTAACGACCGGGGGGGGTCTTTTGGGCCGCGTTGGGGCGATCGTAGGGGCCCCCGAGGCTGCCAAGCACGGTGCGAAGACGAAACATACGAATGCCGTTAACACGTACGTTTTACGAAAGGAACGGGGCCGTTTTTGCTTCTGGGGGCCGCCTGGTGGGTAAACTTGCACGGGCTATGAGGCGTCTTGGAGGCATCGCGTTGGCTGCTTAGGGGCCTCCTTGGGGTCTCGGGGGTCCTCTTGGGGCGTGGGGCTGGCAATTCCAATTCGATTGCCCCATCTTGGGCTCCTGTAGGAGCCCTCTGGGAGACCGTTGTGGCCGTCTTGGGTGCCTCTGGGACCGGCCTGGGACCCTCTTGGGCCGTCCTGGCGCCCTCTGGGGGGCCTCTTGGGCCGTGCAGGGGCGATCTCAGGGGCCCCTGAGGTCGTCAAGGATGGTGTGTAGACGAAAAGCATGGATAGGGTAATTATGTGCGATGTACAAAGGGAATGTGGCTATGTTTGCCTATCGGGGCCCTCGTGGAAGGCAAATTGCACGGGTTATGAGGCGTCTTCGAAGTCTCTGGGGCCGTTGGAAACGCCCCGTGGTCCGTCGAAGCCGTCTTCAGGGTGGTGGGCGGCTGGCTGGGGCCGCCGCGACGCTCATCGGACCGCCCTCCGAAGCGATTTTGGGCACCCCTGGGGCCCCTTGGGAACCTCTTAAGGCCTCCTGGGAGCCCCTGGGGCCGAAAGCTCGGAATTTGAATATGGTTTTCCACCTCTGGGACCCCTGTGGGGCTCGTCCTGGGGCTCTCTTTGGCGGTCTTGGGGGCCTCTCGGGCCGTCCTGGGACCCTCTTGGGTCGTCTTGGAACCCTCTCGAGGGCCTGTGGGGCAGTCTTGGGGGCCTCGGGGGATTCTCGGGGCGTTTGGGAGGCCTCTCGGGGTGTCTTGGGAGCCATCCTGCGCGTCTCGAAGCGGGCTGTGCGTCTTGGAGCAGCCTGTGGGCGTCGCGGGTCCCTCTTGGAGCGTTTCGGATTATCTCGGCGCTTTCTGGTGGCGTCTTGTGGGCCTCCGTGCCCCCCCGAAGGCCTGCGCGCACGCATTTGCGGTGGAGGTCGCGGCCCCGGGGGCTCGGGCCCCGGCGCGCCGTCACATGTATGCGTGTGTGCATACATGTTTGTATGTCTGTGTGTCTGTCTGTAGGCATGTATGTATGTTTGTTTGCGTGTGTATGTTTGTTTGTATGCATGTGTACATATGCAACAACATCAACAACGACAACAACAGCAACAACATCAACACACACACACACACATCACGTAACAATGACACATAAAACACAGGCCTCCAGAATGCGCCTTGGAACCTTTTTCAAGCCCATCTTGAGGCCACCAGAATGTGCCTCCAGGCATTTCGGGCATCCTGGAGAGCCAACTGGCCCTCCGCAAAGGCACCACAGGGCTTCCAGCCGGCACGTACCTTACGCAATCTGTGCCGTTTTACGATCCTTTTCCTCGCCCTGTCCTTGTCGTACCCCCCTGTATCGTCAAGTTCGTGTTCTTCTCTGTGCCCTCCTGTTTTTCTTCTTTGTTTCCCTTGCCCGGCGCCCCCCTGGCCCCCCGCCCCGCCCCTCGTTCGCCCCCCCAATCCCCCCCCCCCCATGGCGGCGGCGGCGGTGCAGCCGCAGCCCCCATGCAGAAACGCTGATCGGCCTGCAACGCGTTCTCTTTCCTCACGAGGGCGCCAGTAACCCTCTTCGTCCATCGCGATGTTATTCTCCGAGAAGAAATGGTCTCTTGCCGACCTGCCTGACATTTTTCTGAAGCGCGACCTCTCCGGTTGTATTCGGCCAGTTGTTCGCGCCGGCTCTTTTCCGAAGTCGCTCGCGCTGACGGCATATCCGTATTCAGAAGCATCTGCAACTGCGACAACGGGATGCCAATCTCGGCTCCACTCTTCAAGCAGGAGCGGCGTGAGATCGAGGAAGGATTCGACCTCTCGACGACGGGACTCCCAGAGAGGAGTCGCCACGAGGTACCGAGCCTGTATAAATTTGCACAGCGAGCTGAACACGCACAAGGTATCCCTGTTGCAGAGCCCCACAAACGCACAGTGCCCTGGCAGGATCTCCCAAGCACGCCCGGCAAGAGCACGACATCGGAGGCCCCATCGGAGTGCTTGCCGAACCTTCCAATACCTCTTTGGGGTCACGCGTGTACACAGGCTGTCCCCGTCCAAAATGCACCCTAAGGTCTCACCCCCCCAAACTTGGATCTCGTCGCCGTGAGTTTCGAGGCCCTTACTGATGAGGATCTGGGAGGCCTGCTGGAGTCTACGTAGCACATATTGTTTTTCCCATGCCAAGACCCCAATATTGTCCACGTAGAGGTAATAGGCTGAAAGAGAAGGGGCTCCTGTAGGGCCAAGAAGACAACGCGAAGTCTTGTCGCCCAGGGCCTCCACGATCCGCGAATTCGGGGAACCTCCGACATAGTTTCCGTTCGTGCGCTGGCAGAAATAGAGCGACCAGGTGAAGCCCATCGGGAGGCTCTCAAACGCAGGAAACACCCGGGACTCGGCTCCCACGATCACACCATTGATGTTCTTGCCCGTGAGCCCCAACTCTTTGGCGCGCACAGGCTGCAAAAGAAGGCGGAGAGCTCGCGATCAATCTTGAATCTGCGAAAGGCATCCTTCACGTCCGAGGTGCCCGGGCAGAATCGGAAACCATATTCTTTCCTAAGCTGTTCGTACGTCTCCTTATCAACTTCCAACTTCGAGAGGCCCTCGGCAGTCGCTAAATGCACTCCGGGCTGCGAGGAAAAATGAAGGTTAGATCTTCTAGCACCTACGATGAATCTCAACTGTCCTGTCTCTTTCTTTCTGACGAAAAATATCCCCACCTCCTCCTTGACCTCATCTGGGCTCAGGAACGCAAAAAGGCCACGGCGCCGCAAATCCCGCATCAGTCGCAGGTACATTGTGCGGCCTCGAAGAAGGGCAGGGTCCCAGCGGGGAGTAGTCCCCGAATCCGCTGTCCGAGCCTCGCGCTCGGAGTCAGGCGGCAGCATGCGCTTCAATCCACTCTCCAGATAGTGGCGTGCGCTACTGGGCAAAATCTCGAGCAGGCGAGGCACGTCAACGACTGACTCGGGTAAAGAGATCTGCCGCACATGCTGGAGGTGTCTGATGCTTCTTCCGCCCGCGTCAGCTCCGTAGACTGAGCGGCCATGGGGAGAGACTGGAAGGCCTCTCGCGGCAGGGGGGTCGCGTCCATGTCCGGAGTGGCCTGAGCCGCTCTGACAATACGCGCATGCACCCCGGGCGATCAGCTGCGGAGAGGGCGGGCTGGCCGCCTCGCCACAGAAATGCAACCAATCAAGAGCTCGAATGACACCGATAGCCTCTCTTACAATCTGCCGCTGGCAGCGCGCCCCAGGAGAGTTATCGCCCCAGCGATGTCGAGAGAAGAAGCCACAGCCAAGCTCGCAAAGAGGAATTATCCTGGCGAAAGACCCAACCATAAGCAATTGTTGGTAACGCGTTGTGGGTGCCGCTTTCGGTGGGGCTCCATATGGGGCCACGAAGCGCTGCCTTGGATGGGGGAACCGCATGCGGACTGCGCCACCGGGGCGGGCCTTCGGTGGAGCTCCCTATGGGGCTACGAAACGCTGCCCTGGGTGGGGGAACCGCATGCGAACTGCGCCACTGGGGCCTTCGGTGGAGCTCCCTATGGTGCCACGAAACGCTGCCCTGGGTGGGGGAAGCGCATGCGAACTGCGCCACGGGGGCTTTCGGTGGAGCTCCCCATGGGGCCACGAAGCGCTGCCCTGGGTGGGGGAACCGCATGCGAAGCAGCCCACTGGGGCCTTCGGTGGAGCTCCCTATGGGGCCACGAAACGCTGCCCTGGGTGGGGGAACCGCATGCGAACACCCCCACTGGGGCCTTCGGTGGAGCTCCCTATGGGGCTACGAAACGCTGCCCTGGGTGGGGGAACCGCATGCGAACACCCCCACTGGGGCCTTCGGTGGAGCTCCCTATGGGGCCACGAAACGCTGCCCTGGGTGGGGGAACCGCATGCGAACACCCCCACTGGGGCCTTCGGTGGAGCTCCCTATGGGGCCACGAAACGCTGCCCTGGGTGGGGGAACCGCATGCGAACACCCCCACTGGGGCCTTCGGTGGAGCTCCCTATGGGGCCACGAAACGCTGCCCTGGGTGGGGGAACCGCATGCGAACACCCCCACTGGGGCCTTCGGTGGAGCTCCCTATGGGGCTACGAAACGCTGCCCTGGGTGGGGGAACCGCATGCGAACACCCCACTGGGGCCTTCGGTGGAGCTCCCCCTATGGGGCCACGAACGCTGCCCTGGGTGGGGGAACCGCATGCGAACACCCCCACTGGGGCCTTCGGTGGAGCTCCCTATGGGGCCACGAAACGCTGCCCTGGGTGGGGGAACCGCATGCGAACACCCCCACTGGGGCCTTCGGTGGAGCTCCCTATGGGGCCACGAAACGCTGCCCTGGGTGGGGGAACCGCATGCGAACACCCCCACTGGGGCCTTCGGTGGAGCTCCCTATGGGGCTACGAAACGCTGCCCTGGGTGGGGGAACCGCATGCGAACACCCCCACTGGGGCCTTCGGTGGAGCTCCCTATGGGGCCACGAAACGCTGCCCTGGGTGGGGGAACCGCATGCGAACACCCCCACTGGGGCCTTCGGTGGAGCTCCCTATGGGGCTACGAAACGCTGCCCTGGGTGGGGGAACCGCATGCGAACACCCCCACTGGGGCCTTCGGTGGAGCTCCCTATGGGGCTACGAAACGCTGCCCTGGGTGGGGGAACCGCATGCGAACACCCCCACTGGGGCCTTCGGTGGAGCTCCCTATGGGGCCACGAAACGCTGCCCTGGGTGGGGGAACCGCATGCGAACACCCCCACTGGGGCCTTCGGTGGAGCTCCCTATGGGGCCACGAAACGCTGCCCTGGGTGGGGGAACCGCATGCGAACACCCCCACTGGGGCCTTCGGTGGAGCTCCCTATGGGGCTACGAAACGCTGCCCTGGGTGGGGGAACCGCATGCGAACACCCCCACTGGGGCCTTCGGTGGAGCTCCCTATGGGGCCACGAAACGCTGCCCTGGGTGGGGGAACCGCATGCGAACACCTGGGGGGCGGGGGCGAGGAGGAGGAGAAACGCGGGGACCGTCTCTTCAAAACGAGGACCCAACAACACAGGTTGGTTGGGAAAAAAAGGGAAAGGAGGGCAACTCCCAGCTTTCCCTCGGGGCTGAAAAACCCCCGAAGGCCTCCCACTCCGACGGGGGGTGTCGACGTCATGGCTTCACTGGCGGCGGGGGCTGATGACCGGCTGCTGCCTTGCCGCCGTCTGCGCCGCCCTTGCCGCCGCCAGCCTTGGGGCCCTTCGGGCCCGATGGGCCGCCAGGCAGCCCCTCCGCCGCGTCCGCCGCGAGCTGGCTACAGGCGGGCTGCCCGCTGAGCCTGCTCTTCATAGTCTCAATCTCGGCCTTCTCCTTGTTTTTGCGGGCAACCGCGCTCCTTAGACCTGGATCGGCGACCTGCAACGGCCCGGCGATGCCCGTGCATGGCTCCAGGCCCTGCCACTTGGGCCTCGAGGGGTCGTCGCGGTAGGCCTCTATGATCTGGGCGACTCGTCGGCATATCACCTCCGTCGAAGCCAAAGGCGCGATGTTCAGCTGATCATGCGATCCCGCGTGCGGAACCGCCGTCAGGAGGGTGGTCATCTCGATCGCCGCGCGCTCATTCTGACCGATGCCCTTCTCCTGCAGTCACGGCGCCAGCCATGCGAGCGGGCCCCCGCCAGCCCTCTCGAACCTCTTAGCCATGCGCAGCGCCTGCGAGCGCTGGCCCCCGAAAAGGCCAGTCTGGGAAGAGGTGGGAGCTCAGCTCGCGCGCGACCGAGCGCCAGGGCTTATGGCGCCCCCCAGCTTCGCCCATCACGATCCAGAGGGTCCTGACCTCCTCGGCCCCCTCCTGCGCGCCTGCGCGCTCGCGGTGCTCCGCCAAGGCGCCCGCGCGCTCGCCGATCTCATCTAGCCCAACGGAGTCTGCCACCTCGTCACCCTTTCGATCCTCCATCCACTCCTCGAACTTACGCCCGCGGTGGGCCTCTCGCGCGTTCCTCACGAGCTCGGCCTTCTCGTCGGGCACCACCGCCAGCACGCGCTGCCAGCCGCCCTCAAGCCGCACCACGGCGTTCCACTCATCGAGGCGCACGTCATGTCTCGTGAGCTGCATCACTCGCCCCAGCCCTGGCACCTCCACGAGCACCCACTCGAGTCCCTTCGGCGGGTCGAGCTCGAGTCGCGGCGTAAGGCAGGTGGCCTCGTCCGGCGGCGGCAGCGGCTACAGCGCGCCCAGGGCCAGCCCCTCTGGCGCCCCCACGGCAGCGGCGGCGGGGGCCGCCTCGCGCAGCGGAGCGATACGACGGATGGCTCCACCGAAAGGGAGGAGGCGGCCGTCTTCGAGGTAGTGGCTCGGGCCCATCAGAGGCTCACCCGACTACGCCACATCCGCGCGCGCCAACCTGATGAAGCTCCTCAGGCTCCTTCCATCGTTCGGCTCTCGGGGTTGGTAGAAACCTCCACGCTTCACCGAGGGGCGATCTCCATGTCGTGCGATCCTGAACGCGCGGGAACAGCCCTCAGGATCCTCGCAGGCCACATTCTCAGGGGTGTAGTCACCATCGGGCGAGAGCGTGTACCACACCTTCGGCCCGACTGGATACAAGAGCGTACGATGATGCCAAACCGGATCGTCATCATACCAGACCCCGATGCAATCGCCCGGGATCATATTACTGCAGAGCCCCTGCGTCCCCACGGCGGTGCCGTCCGCCAGCCGCAACACCGGCCATCTCCCGCGGTGGGGGATCTCCTCCGTCTCCGCGAGCGCCATGGCGACGACGGCACAGCGCACAGGTGGCTATGCCCTCGGCGACTCCTAGCAGGCCCGCCAGCGCTCCCGACCAGCCCCAAGACGTATTCAGCGGGGACTCGTCCGACAGCGGCGGCGCCACGATCGGCTCAGGCTGCTCCTCGAGCGTGCAGAACGGTGGGCCCGTCAGTGCCTCCACTGCTGAGGTGAGGTTCCGCACTGCCTTTTCCGCCTGCTCGAGGCGGTCGTCCAGCCGAGCGAGGCCACGGGCAGGTCACTCGGGCGGGCCAGGGCAGATCGGCGGAGGGATGCTCTGGGCGACGAAATAGGCGAGGAGGCGTATTGTGGGGAGAATGGAAACCCCGCCGACCGCGAGAGCAGTCGTGCTGCTCATCCTCAACATTTGAGCAGAAGTGCCCGCGGCCGTGGCAACAATAACGTGCACAGCACTTCTATATTGGCCCAAGATGGCCTCCAAGATGGTCCAAGATGGCCTCCAAGTTCGCCCAAGATGGTCCAAGACGGCCTCAAAGACGGCCCAAGAGACTCCAAGACGGCCCAAGAGGGCCCCCCAGAGGCCTCCAAGACGGCCTAAGAGGCCTCCAAGAGGTCTTCCAGGAGGGCCCGAACAGGCCCAAATCATTGATGTTCCTTAGGTCTTTGAAGGATTTTGGCATTCGCTTCTTCTCGGCTTTCCGACGACCCGAGACGGCCCAAGAGGCCCCCAACATCGCCCACACAGCGCCCACGAGGCCTCCAAGATGGCCTCAGGACTGTCCAAAAGGCCCCCAAGACGGCCCCAAGAGGGCACAAAGACGACCCAAAACGCCTCCAAGACGCCCAAGATGGCCTCTACGACGGCCCCGGAGCACCCCGAGGGGGCCCCACGTCGGCCCACAAAGGCTCCCCGAACGGCTCCCGACGGCGTCAGACGGGCCATGAGCCTACCAAGATGGCCGAAGGTGGTTCGAAGCTGGCCCAAGACGGCCCAAGAGGTTTCCAAGAGGGCCTCCAGGAAGGCCAGAAGGGCCACAAACGCTGGTGTGCCGTAGGTTGCTGTAGGATTTTGGCATTTGCTTCGTTTCGGCCTGCCGACGGCCCGGCCCAATGGCCCCCCAAGATCGCCTAACGATCGCCCAAAGAGGACTCCAAGATGGCCCCAGAACGGCACGAGAGGCCCCAAGACGGCCCCATGAGGCCCCCGAGACGGCCCAGGATGCCTTTTAAGACGCCAAAGATGGCCTACAAGACGGCCCTGGAGCATTCCAAGAGGGCCCCAAGTCGGCTCAGAGAGGCCCCCCAAACTGCTTTCGACGGCGTCGGACGGGCCAGGGGCCCACCAAGACGGCCGAAGATGGCCCTAAGATGGCCCAGGACGGCCGAAGAGGCCTCCAAGAGGGCCTCCAGGAAAGCCCGAAAAGGCCAACATTATTGATTTCCCATGAGTTATTGAAGGATTGTGGCATTTGCTTTGTTTCTGCCTTCCGACGGCCCGAGACGACCCAAGTGCCCCCAAAGATCGCCCAAGATGCCCAAGACGGCCCCAAGAGGCCCCGAAGACGGCCCAAGAGGCTTCCAAGACGCTCAAGATGGCCTCCAAGACGGCCCAAGAGCCCTCCAAGACGTCCTCCAAGAGGGCCCGAAAGGGTCAAAGTGGCCTCCAGGCGGCCAAGAGGACCTTCAAGATGCCCACGTGTTCCCCGAAGGCTTTCCAAACCGATTCGGGGAACACATGGTCCGATAGCTTGGCAGGTCTGGCCTCAACGTTCGGCCACATAGCCGCTTCCAAAAAGGCAGGGGGCGGCGGTGATTCGCCGTAGGCGTCTTCGATACAAGGAGATGCCAGGAAACCTCCGATACACCCAGACGGGCGAAATTATCTTCGCGCCCGCGCACCGCTGCCTGCAGAAAAACACCCAGACCGCGAAGAACCCCTATCTTCGCACCCGTTACGCAGATCTTGAACCTCCTGGAACGTCGAACTCGCCAATCACATCCCGATGCATTTCAATTATTCCTCCTCCTCCTCCTCTTCATCCTCCTGTTCGTCCTCACACTCATCATCCGCATCCTCGTCATAGCCATCGTCATCATCAACATCATCAGCCATACAACCCTCACAGTAATCATCATACTCATCATCATCACCACCATCACCATCAGTAAAGGTGGCAAAGGCGTAGAACTGTTTACTCCAGAGTTAACCCTCCGACCGGACGTACCGTTAAAAAGTGTTTACTCCAGAGTTAACCCTCGGACCGGAGATCCCGTGAAAAGTGTTAACTCTGGAGTTAACCCCTCTTGGAGGGGAGCGCAAACAGCATTTGTGATGTTATTGAAGAGAGCGCTTGCAAACCCCAGCGAAGGAACCGACGAAACAAGAAAGCCCGCAACGTGTGAGAAGCAATCGCTCTGGATCAGCGCTAGAGTGACGAGCGACTTGGGCCAGAAAGCCTGCAGGGCAAGAGAAGCACGCACCCTGAACCAGCAAGCCTGCATCATGAAAAAACACACCTCCTAAACCAGACAGGCCAGCAGAGCTGGAAAAACAAGCCTCCAGAGCCAGAAACATTGCAAAACTAAGGCAGAAGGGATTCATAGCAAGAGAGCGTTCGTATCCGAAAAAAGAGGCCGACGTAACCTGAGAGCCAGCAGCCCCAAACAAAACAACTTTCGGAGGAAAAAAAAACCTGAAGAGCGAGGAAAGGTGGCTCAATAACCGGGTGACTCAATAATCAGACAGCAGGGCGAGAGGAGGGCGGCAAAACTAAAACTACGAGACCCAAACATCACCCCCCTGAGCAGCCTGACGAAAAGTCGTCCATAACGTGACAGGCTGTGAACTGGATTGGCAAACGAGTCGATTGCAGAGAAACCGGCGCGACTTCAGGAAGTAACCCCTGGCAACAGAAAACCCAAAAGGCAAATGAAAAGAGCGACTGCGCCGCCGAAAATGGCCAGCCCCAGGGCGATAATGTTTCGAGCACGGGGCCCAGGAAGTGAAAAGAGCATGCGTAGCGGAATTAGAGAAGAGGCGAAATGGTGGCCAGAGGGGCGCTTCAGATGCAGAGAGGGTTAATCTGGAGTAAACCCTTTCCTGTGGTGAGGCACTGAAGGTACAAGTTCACAAAGGTTTAATCCAGATTAAACCTTTTTTAACTCGTGATTACACACTTTTTCTTGATTCCTGCTCGTCCCCTCGTCCGCTGCCCCCTGCTCCACCCCTTGCCTTACCATCCTCTGTCTCCCTCCCCCATCCTATACCTACTCCTCGGACGAGGCCCTCCTCCAGCGGCCTGCATCTTCAAAATCTGTTTCTTTCCTCCGCTGCTTCCTTTTCCACCTCCCCCTTCTCGTTATGTCTTTCCGTCCGCCTCCTCCTCCTCCTCCTCCTCCAGCTCTTCCTCCCACTGCATCTTCCCCATGCCTCACAGTTGTCCTGCCACAGCCTCCTCCACAATTTGCATTATGTCCCCTGATTGGAATCGTTAGCATCACCCTCATCACCACCATCATCACCATTAAGACCAACAACCATGACCATCATCCTCATCATCATCCTCATCATACTCATCATCCTCATCCTCATCCTCATCCTCATCCTCGCTCTCCTCCTCCTCACCATAAACATCATCAGCAGCAGCATCAACATCATAAGCATCATCGTCATCATCATCATCATCGTCATCATCAGCATCATCATCATCATCACCATCACCATCACCATCACCATCATCATCGTCATCATCATCGTCACCATCATCATCGTGGTCTTCTTCTCCATCATCATCATCAGCATCAGCATCCTCACCACCATCATCAGCATCATTATCATAATCAGAATCAGCATCACCAGCATTAGCATCGCCAGCAGCATCATCATGATCATCAGCATCATCAGCAATATCATCATCGTCATCACAATCCTCATCATGATCATCATCAGCATCATCATGGTCATCAGCATCGTCATCATCAGCATCATCATCATCAGCATCATCATCCTCATCCTCATCCCCATCCCCATCCTCATCCTCCTCATCCTCCTCATCCTCGCCATCGCCATCGCCACCGCCATCGCCGGCACCGCCGCCATCGTCGTCATTGCCGTCATCACCAATCCCTGCATGACCTCCACCACCGCCGTCACCATCGCGCGGCGCCCGCGCCGCTCTCGAAAAGCCAGGGCCGCTCCTCGCCGCTCCCGGCAGCGAGGCGCCCTGCCCCGACCCGAAGCCTCCGCCTGCTCTGCCGGTCGGTCTGGACTTGGAGGAGGAACGGGAAG